AGAAAATCAATCAACGTAATACACCACATCAATAGAACAAAGGAAAAGAACCACGTGATTATCTCTATGGATGCGGAAAAAGCATTTGATAAAATCCAACACCCTTTCTTGATGAAAACCCTGAAGAAGATTGGAATAGAAAGGAAATTCCTCAATATGATTCAGGGCATATACGAAAAGCCAACAGCCAATATTATACTTAATGGATAAGGATTGAGAGATTTCTCCTTGAAATTGGGAACAAGACAAGGGTGCCTGCTCTCGCCACTTCTATTCAATATTGTATTAGAAGTCCCAGCCACGGCAATAAGACCAGAAAAAGAAATAAAAGGTATCCAGATTGGAAAAGAAGAAGTAAAAATATCTCTATTTGCAGATGATATGATTCTATATATAGGAAATCCCAAAGAGTCCACAAGAAAACTTCTGGAACTAATAGAAGAATTTAGCAGTTTCAGGTTACAAGGTCAACAAACAAAAATCAGTTGGGTTGCTATACACCAGCAATGAGAAATATGAAAGGGAAATTAGAGAAATAATTCCATTTACAATAGTATCTAAGAAAACAAAATACCTAGGAATAAATCTAACCAGGGACATGAAGGACTTATACAATTAAAACTATAAAACACTGATGAAAGAGATTAAAGAAGACTTAAATAAATGGAAAGATGTTCCATGTTCACGTATTGGAAGACTTAATATTGTTAAGATGTCAATAGTACCCAAAGCAATCTATAAATTCAGTGCAATCTCAACCAAAATTCTAACAGGCTTCTTTACAGAAATGGAAAAACCAGTCCTCAATTTTATATGGAACGGCAAGAAGCCCTGAATAGCTAAAGCAATGTTGAAAGAGAAGAACAAAGTAGGAGGACTCACACTTCTTGATTTTAAAACATATTATCCAGCCACAGTAATCAAAACAGCCTGGTACTGGTATAACAACAGACACACAGACCAATGGAATAGAATTGAGAGTCCAGAAATAAACCCACACATCTATGGTCAAATGATTTTTGACGAGTTGCTAAGCCCATTCAATGAGGGAAAAAAGAGTCTCTTCAATATATGGTGCTGGGAAAATTTGATTTCCACATGCAGAAAATGAAACAGGATCCATGCCTCACACCGTACACAAAAACAAATTCAAAATGTATTAAAGATCTAAATGAGAGGGAGGAGGAAAGGGGGGTTAACGGTGATTGAAATATTGCATTGATTAAGGGTAGGACTGCACAGCTGATTACTGTAATTGCTGTCAATAAGTTGTACACCTGTAAAAAGCTGAATTGGCAAAAGTTGTGTGATAGGTATATTTACAACAATGACAAAAAAAAATTGCAGCTGCTGAAGCCACTTATGTACAACCAAACACCTCGTGGGATTTGGTTCCTTGGTTTGGAGGTTTAGGGTCATGGTTTCATGGAATATACCAGTTAATTGGCCTAATAATGTGTTTAGTGCTCCTGTTCTATCTTCTAGTTCATTGAATAGTGCCTGGGGTCTTAAAAGCCCACAAGCAGCCATCCAAGGCACAACAACTGGTCTCTATTCCTCTGGAGTAACATCGGAAGAAAGACAGTCAGGAATAGAAGGACATGGAACGTGTGGCTAATGGCCTCCATGAACCACTGCCTCCTTTGCTATGAGATCAAAAGAACTGGATGGTGCCTGGCTACCTTTACTGAACATTTTGATGAGATTCCATAGACGAATTCTGATAAAAGGGGGAAAATGCAGAACATAATTTCAAATTCTCATGGACTCCAGACCTTCTGGCACCATGGAGGGTAGATGAACCCCTGAAACTATTGCCCTGAGATAACATTTAAACCTTAAACCAAAAATACCCCTGAAGTCTTATTGAAACCAAACAGTAATTTAGCTTAACTAGTGTTACATGTCTGCCTTGAGCATTATACTCTTTTAAGAACTATCTGTATGATTTCAAATTAACAACAGCAACTGGAAAGATTAGATAGGAACTTTATGGGGCAGTGAGTTTATGCTAATGGCGGAGGAACAACTCAAAAAAGGAGGGTGAGAATGGTTGCACAACTCGAAGAATGTAATCAGTGTCACTAAAGTGCACATGTAGGGAGGGGTGGAGGGGAAATACTAAATTGGCAATAGATAAGTGGTATCTTGGGTGAAGGGTGAGACACTACACAATACTGGGGAAACCAGCACAACTCGTACGAGAAAAGGTCATGGAAGCTCCATAGACACATCCAAACTCCCTGAGGGACTGAATTGCCAGGCAGAGGGCTGTGGGGACCATGGTCTCGGGGAACATCTAGCTCAATTGGCATAACACAGTTTATAAAGGCAATGTTCTACATTCTACCTTGGTG